GTGTAGGTGGCGGTAGTGGTTAGAAGATGAGAAAAGGCACCTAATTTCTGCAGCCCGGTCGGGAGCACGGCGCAGTGCCTCGGCAGTGTAGGAGGGGGTAGGTGCAGTGCTTCGCCGTTCGCTCACCCTCCTCCCTGAGCCCCACTCACCCGGCGTGAAGCGCGCGCCTCACTCTCGACCGTTCGCTGGCTGATGAACGTAAATGGTTGCAGCACGAATACTCGTCTCGTCATTAATTTACGCCACTAAAATTACTACACCGTGTACTCTCGGCGCAAGAAATGTTCCTCACGATTCCCTTCGGGGCGGTGGGGGCAAATTTTTAATATGCTTTCCGACGAGACTGAGGACACCTGATGGTGCATTCAAAGAATGTTTACATTGCGCGCCTTACATTTCAATTCATCCTGTGATGGCGCATGCCAGTTCGGTGAAGAGGTGGCTGACGCCTTCCTCAAAGTCTGGGTGTGCCAATGAAACACATCTGTCCCCCAACCCCAACCTCACGAGAGAGTATCGGGAAGCGCCCCTGTTCAGCTGTCAGGACCTCAGGGGCCAGAAGACCCTGGTTCAACGGACGCAGGCGGCGTTGCTTGCCAGTGGAACTCCAGAATAGTAATTCCAAGGCCAATCATGGCCCTAACACAGTCAACACAGTTGTCTCACTTCTGGGTAACCATTTAATAATTAATAAATGTTGCACCACCACCGGTAACCGGATGACCCGTTGTGAGCGGGAACCTGATGGCCCGTTGTGCTTCATTTTTGCATCGATGCTGGAATTTTTCTTTTTTTTTTCCCTGACTCTACCGCGGGGGAGGCTGGTAAAAGTTGTACTCCAATTTAGTACCATCCATGCGCACGGCAATGGATCCGACGGTGTAACGGCCATTCGGGGGTGTGTAGGTGCACAATTTTTTTTCGGAAGAGGCGAGGGGGGGGGGGGGGGGGAGACGAGCTTGGTGTACTTAGAGTTACTGTATATATGCTAAAGGTAGCATACATATACAGTAACTCTAGGTGTACTAACCTTGACTACGCCACTGCCACCATACGACTGGTTGTCTCGTAACGATGTTAACTGGAGCGAATATACAGACAGTCGAGGTCTGTTCTGTCTGGTTGGTAGGCGTCATGACTAGAGGCCGGGTTTATATTCACGAAGGAACCGGGCTTTAAGTGCGAGAAATAGGCGAACAAAACACTGTTTTAGACCCCCAAAATTGTAAATATAGGCGCGATAAACTTTGAGAAAATATTATTTTCGAAGAAATACACGTGGGATTTGTGTCTACGACAGGGAAACAAACAGAAATGTTTTAGTTTATGGTGATACAAAGGCGCCAGTGGTTTAGCATAGCCATGCATTTTTTTTTTTCCCCGCAGGGTTTGCAGAATACGGCATCTCCTTTTCTAGTCCAGCATGGCGAGTCAAGTGTCTACCGTCGAATAAGCATGCTCCTGAGTCTCTTTCTTTTCGGCATGGCTGAGAAGGGCAACACAGGCGCAAATAGAAGCGTCTTTCTTTCTGCGCAGGGTCAATTTCTTTTATGTCTCTGAACAGCTTGAAGGGCACTTAATCAGGTTTGAGAATTTCCAGCAGGCAAGGGGAATGCACGCACTGGGCGCTCGCGATCTCATCTGCCAGGATTTGCAATGCTACACGTCCCTAAAAGAGGTGAAATGTCAGACTGAATGCCACTTGACCTTTATGCCACGGGCACTCGCCCAGCATGGTGTCATGAAGATGACTTATACAACAAGAATGGACCTGCGTACGTCAAAGTAGTACGTGACTCTGCGAGAATTATTCAAGGCGACGTGTGTAATTTGTGCAATCTGTTAATTGCCTAAAATATAATTATGAAGATGTGCAGAAACATTAAAATATACAAACGCAATGTATGTGCATTATTTTTTTCTAACTTTGTATCGATGCGACTAATCTGCCTCGATCCATTTCGTTTGCGTTGGTGTTCTCGCCGTTATCGCATCTTGCCGGTGCCAGCGTTCGTAACACTTGGGGGGTATTTTCTATGCATCGTTTCCCGGAGCAGTTTCATCGGTGTGTATTGTGGTAAGGATACATGATCATGCCAGCCTCTCTAAACGTGTGCGCATATAGATGGATCCATCCTGCAGAAACAGGCAGAAAGAGAACGTCGAAACGACACAACACTGCATGCTTGCGTGCCCGATCTGGCATGGGCATGTCATGCGAATGTAACCGTGCGTGAGCATGACGAGTTGATGCGTCAGCGTCATGCATGTGGTCTTCCGGCTTCGAGTAGGCTAGGTTCTCCAACCGCATGGTCTCCAACTGTACTCGAAAGCGAAATTTGAGGTTAAATAGCGTTCATATAGGCACTGATATTTAAAATAGGTATTTAGGCACAGACTTCAAAGATAGTAAAAACACTATAAAAACTATTCTTAATATCGAATTCAAGTGGCACGATAGGAAAGCAAGAAACAAAATAGGCCTTTGCCTATCCGGCCTCAGCAGCCCAAGCCGCCACTCTCTCTACTAAAAAGTCACGCGGTAGCTGACTTTAAGAAGGTTTGCCCTCGGGAATAACAGTGGCAGCGGTGAAATGACGGCCAACATAGAAAACTGTTTTGAAAACCAGCAGTTAAGAAACACAATTAAGGCAGCTGATCCAAGCCCAAGAAGTGAATGCTGATGATGAAACGAAGCCCAAGGCCCTACGTTGAAGTTGCCGACTGAACAGATGCTCGGACGGACGGTGGTCGATTACAGTCGATGTTTAAACCATATGAGCGCTATATAAACGCTCTGTGTACGGTGTATACAATACCTGTTTGTCAGTTCGACGGAAACTACTACAATCATCATAGCTACAACGACAGCGTCGACGGACGGTCTCGCTCGCTGGATTCCGTGCCGACCGGCTGTGCCCTTGCGATCTCCGACGTCAGCGTAGCTCTGGCCAACTGGGCTGGTCCTACGTCACCTCCTGACGCCGATCTCCGACGACAGCGTAGCTCTGACCTACTGGAGTTGCTGCCCTACGCCATCTCCTGACGCCGACAAGAGCTCTCGCAAGTGGTGCCCCGTCCTTGGACGACCGTGTTTCCATCTTTCCTATCCCCTCGATATGTCCCCGCTCGCTGTCCCAGCGCATCTCTCTCTCTCTCTATACCTTTACTTCTATCATTTTAATCCCTCCTCACCCCCATCCCCTGTGAGCTACTGTTGAGGTGTCGCACCCTGCATCAGGGTGCGACACCTCAACAGTAGCTCACAGGGGATGGGGGTGAGGAGGGATTAAACAGACAGCTACGGGGCTCACTTTTCTCTTCTTTTCCCTCTTATAGCCCCATCTCAGCGTCGATGGACGTCGTGAGAACCTAGAGCTTCGCTCCAAAAATGTCAGTTATCCAATGCTAACGAAATCCTGACATTGTAAAAGTCGAAGCTCTCACTTTGACCGTTGACGCCGTCGTCGTTGTCCGAAGCATAGACTCTTGGTCCGAAGTATACGGTTATGTCGACTAAGGCAACGAAGTGTAGCGAACGCATCGATGCAGCCATTGTTTTCAGAACCTCCTCACTATATAGCCCTGGGTGCACAAAGAAATACGACTTAATATTAGCATTACTTTCATAATTGGATTACCTGTAATCACAGATTTGCGAGAAATATGTTCTTGCTCACCTATCGATCGTGGCGCATATGCTAGCAACAAATTCCTTTCTTTTTCACATCTCAGTAGCTGTCGGTTGGCGTTTGAAGACAATGCAACTTTATTGCAAAAATAAATTAAAAAAAAAAACATGTGGTTCCGCCCGGGATCGAACCGGGGACCTTTCGCGTGTAAAGCGAACGTGATAACCACTACACTACGGAACCAGGTGCTCAAGGATTGGTTTTACAAATTACATAAACCTACTTTCATACGAATAAATTATTACATTAAATATTGTGTTTAGTACATTATAATTAGGTTATATGGTTGCACACAAAGCAAGCTCCGCGCAGAACAAAACAACGTCGCGTGAATTCTTACCTATATTCAATGCTGAGTTTTTCATTTGAAGGAGTGTTGTAGCCATGACCTACTACACTCCTGACCTGCCCAGAGAGCACCTCTTCCAGCGCCCACGTTCTAGTTCATACCTTCTGCCGCTAGGGCCGTCACCTACGAGCGGCGTGGCGCTAGGCAGCACCTGTTCGCTGACGTCACCTTCACTCTTTGTAGTCAAATTTTAACCAACAAAGCACTCGTAGTGCGAATTTATGATCCACAATTTAGAAATATCCAGAAATAATAATACTAAAAGACATTCAGAATTTTTTTTGCAATAAAATGCACGCGACAACGCATAGGCTGTCCAAAATCATGTAAATCCACGGGTTTCCACGTTTGTCAACCAGTGTGCTATAAATTCTTAAGCGCACTGAACAGCTTACTTGACCAGCAATGTATGGGAAGAAATAGTCACATATATGCCGACAGTTCACCACAGAAAGCAGGCATTCTTATACCAGCGCCTACAAAACAACCGTAAAGAAGCAGACGAACAGGTTATAGGTAGCGCCACCTACGGCGAGCGATTGAACGAGAGCGGGGACACGCGCTCCCATAGGAACCCCGCTATCTGAACAGGTCAGGAGTGTAGTAGGTCATGGTTGTAGCGTTGCTTAACGCAGCAGACAACTGACAGCATGCGTGGCTCGTTGTACGCTCATCTCGCAACTCGGCTTACAGGTTCATCTCAGAAAACTAGAATTTCAGTGATAACGCTACTGAGCTTCGTTTTTTATGCGTTACACAAAATTCTCACTCCCTCGTAAGTCACGATGAGCGCTGCGCTGTGAGCGTTTGGCCCGGTTGGATTCTCTGGTTGGAGCTTTCATTTGCTGAACGATTTTGAGCCACCTCTGTGGCAACGTTCTTACACTCGCTGCATTTTTTCTCATTAATTAACGCGTCAATTTACGAACAAAACTTGCACATTGGCACTCGCAGCCTTCAAATACCTGTGACGTCATCAATGAAGTGCAGACCGGCATTTTGAAAGACGTGTTTGGTTCTGGAAGCCTCCGTTTTTCATAAACTGTCGCGGCGAAATCAAGGAAGCCAGCATGGCTACAGATGGCCTACAGAAATCTAGGTTGCAGCACTTTAAAAACAAGGGCAAGGATCAAGATGTGAGTCTTTACCGTCGTTTGCAAGCAACATTTGTACGCTGACAACCCTAGGCCTAACTGCTTTACCGTGTTCGTGAAGAGCTTGCTCGCGTTGACGGAGTGAACGACCTGACGAGCGCCTTAACTGACGATAGGCGTGAATCAGTGCGGTGTTGTCCTCGAAAACGAGGTTCTTACTAGCTGACTTCAAGCGGCATGACCGCGGTGTTTCGTGAAGTCCGGGCCACTTGTCTCTATTAGGCCTATTTGATGGTTCAATGCAGAACTTGAGTCGTGCGATTTGCGGGCAATTTCCTAGATTGAAATCGTAATAAGGCATACGATTCCTGTGTTCATTCGGCATATCGAAATCTGGTTACTTCGCTTTACGAGTTGTCGCGTTCTAGTAGCATTTCTGCGCGGTACATGTGTGCCGAAACGGATCATATGAAAGGCTCGGGGCGGTCGCGGGATCGACTGCGTATTTTTAAAATCTTTTATGTGCACGTTGGTCCTTTGGCGATCCGACTTAGCAGACAGCTGTTTTTGACGTATATGACTGAATGACACTACTCGGCGACTCGTTTACGTGGCGTGCGCGTAGTTCGTTTGCAGACGATGCTGCCTTTTAATGCGCTGCGACTGCTTATTATTAACCATTCCCACCAAGCCGCGTCCGCCTTCGGTGTGTGCACTGTTCGAAAAGTAATGTTGATGAGACGTTCGCCAAAAAAAAAGTTCAATTTAATCTAGAACTTGTATACAGTGAAAGCAACACGGTCTCGGCACCACGTGCTTTTGCAAATGCGCAGCATTGACGTTCGCGCCGCTGTCCATTGTCGGAGGTGGTGTGCATCGTGATCTGGTGACAGCGCTCCGTGGCGCGGCGACTCGCGTACGCACGTGAAGTTTGTCGTGGCAGTTGCGACAGCTTTTTGCTAGGCAACGTGGTGTTGCGAAAAATACTGCCTCAGAAGGTTTCGTAAAGGGGCTATGCTTAACACGAAACCACTGGCAATGGGCCTTTGACGTACATTAAACGTTATTCGTTCCTATTTTGGTATTTTGCTGCCCAGTGATAGATAAAGCATACTTGATCTTCTAGCTTGTGCTGCCTAGATTTTGCAGCTGAATGGAAAATAGGCATTGAGGTATTGTCCCCCCTCTCCCCCCCCATTAGTACACACATAATTGAAGGGAATATCTAATAATTAAGCTTCTAAACTGCGAAAGTAAACGTCGAGCTACAGAAATGTTTCGTTTCAGTAAGCAGATGAGTGGAAACTTGCATTTCAGCTAACTAGACAGCTACGGATGCTTGATGTGCTATACATTTATTATGCACAGATTAAAGTATCGAGATACCTCTTGCTTAACAGTGAAATACTGCAGCCGCTCGCGTCACCCCAGTGTGTCTTGAGAAGGGTCTTTGACCCATCACTGTGCACACAATTTGTTGGATATGATCAGTGGGCTTTGCTATGAGCACGGGGAGTTAAGTGTGCTATTAAAGTAGTGTTGATACTGGGAGGATGTTGGGGGACCACTGGAATTCCCCAGACTGGCCTAGTGGCATATTTTCAATGTTCATAGACTGTCACGCCACCCAGCGGAATTCAGGAGCGTCTTCTCAAGGATGATCAGTAGTATTCAGACGCTCCTAACGCTCCCTTGTTCGGCGATGGTAGTCTCAGTGTTTAATGCGTTAGCAAGAAACAAACACAAACCACTTTGTATGTTGCATGCATCAGTCAATATACCGGACCGTCCATGACACGCTAAATCAGATTCGTTCTTGCAAGGGGCGAAGCTTTCATGAAAATACGTGGCAAATCGCGCTTTTTATTATAGTCCGCTGAGTACACATATCAGCTTTGCGAGATTTTCTGCAGCCATGTTGGATAGTTAAATGTTATTGTCTAATCTTTGCAGTTGAAAGTCTCCTTGTTTTACGTGTTTATAGCATTCGTCAGTGCTTTTGTAAAGAATGAATTCCATAACATTCATTGCTAGCGGAAAGTAGTGCAGGCTCAAGATTTGCGCTTCCAAACTGTGGCCTATGCTGCGCCATTTGTTTTTCACGTTGATTGATGGATGGCAGCACACTGCAAGCGATTCCTTTTTTGCCTGGTATCGGAGCAGAATGTTGTCCGCACTCCTAGGTAGACGTGGTGAGTGACGCCATGTTGGGGTAGTGCAATGACGCATTGTTGGTGCTATCCAAGTCGTTTGGCGAAGAGAATTTCTCAGATTACTTTCATCAGTGATGTTCAAAAATTTGTTTTGACGTCGGGGATTTTTCACTGGACGTAGATGGTTGTCAATGTGCTGGGAGTGACAGTGACAATGAACGATCAGCTGCTAGCTCACGAGCAGAGAGTTGCACTTCCGTCCCATTGTGCATTAACGTATTTTTTTTTTCACGTTTGTAAGTCACTTTGATTGTGTTTATTGTATCATATTTTTCAGCGAGTTCAAAATAAAAAAAAAAGTTTTTCTTGTGCATTGCATGTAGCCCAATTACAGTGAATATTACAAAATGCCGCATGCCGCCAATACACTCAAGCTCGACCACCGAAGAGAAGTGGTTAGGGCAATGAAATATGCAGTTACCACTACAGTCCACGAGGTCTCATTCGAGCATCCAGTGCAAACGAATGTGTTTTTCTGAGCTCTTGCGTCGGCGAGAGATGCTGCGGCATCTCTGTCGTCTTCAAATGATTGCTGCCAGAGTATTGCTTCAATCCTCCGGAATTCAACACCCATCGACAGATGTCATCGAGAGGATTCTCCCGAGCCAATTTTTGACCTGGTATGCCCATTTTTCGCCCTTTTTAAAGACTTTTCTTCGGCTGGGCATCCGCCCGTGCTGACGGAACGGCATCATGCCGGGGGTGATGGTGGTGGACGGGGAAGTTATTTCCCAAGAAGACACTAACGCGCCTGGGTGGCAGACTGTTTTAGGCTAGAATAAGCGTTCTCCCCGACAACAAGCGTCTGCTTCTTCTCAAAGTGGAGGAACGACTGGCCATCGCACGGCCACCGCGCATGGCGTCGTTCGGCGCCTTGCAGCCGCATCGAGGCTTCCCCGATTGCCGAGGAGCCATATTCAAGTCATAGTGCAACCGAAAGGAGGCCTAAATCTCAAGAAGGTGAGCCTGATTCGTCAAGCCCAAGCCCTGGAGACAGCTGCAAAACTGTCCCCGGAAGAAACGCCGGAGGATATCGTCTGCCAGAACATAACTCAGAATATCGTTGTGGTCTCTACGCCAGCGTCCCGCAACGCCGGTGCCTATGCGGCGCTGCAACTTATCCGCCTTGGCTCGACTGAGTATCACGTTTCGGCCTACACGGCCGCTTCTGACAATACCTGCAAAGGTGTCATGCGAGGTGTCGACGCGGACGTTGATGAGCGACAGTTGGCGGCGATGATTGTGCACTAGGGCAATCCTAAAGCCATGGAGGTGCATTGCATCAAGGAAATGACTACTGTCGTCGTTCTCTTCAGTGGTCTTAAGGTACCCAACTATGTTATGTGTGGTACGAGCATGTTATGGTGTACTTTGTACAGGAGACAGACTGACGTTTGTTATGGATGTGGAGCTCTCGGCCATCGTGCCGATGTCTGTCCGACACTGACGAAGAAAGTGTGCTGTGGGTGTGCTGTCAACGATCCCGCAATGCGGGGGGGGGGGGGCGGGGCACATCTAACGGCCGACAAGCCCTGCCAGCATCGATTCCAAGTCCCCTACTTGGTAAGGCGACGAAGATGGCGTAGAAAAGCCACCAAGAAACGCCGGCAGCACTAAGAGGGTCTGACGTCACTGGATTCGAGCGTGGCACCAACCTCGAGGATGCGCTCACCCTCGCCAGCTGTTGAGAAGAGTCGCAGCCGCTCAAGAGGACGCTCTCGCTCCAAGAGGCGCGCCCACTCTAAGGGGCGCTCCTACTCCAAGGGACACTCCCACTCTAGGCTACGCTTCCAAGAAGCTCCCAAGACCTGGGTGGATCGTGCCAAGCCAAGCACGGCACAGCAGCCAGCACAGGTAATGCACGCGGCACTGCCAGAGCAAAAAGAAGACCCTAGGATTGCATTGTTATCTTCAAGAGAATGCTAGCTTAAAAGCGCAGCTTCAGCAGATGAGGGTTGAGTTTGAAGCTCTCAAAAATACAGCAAATGTCCTGGTGCGGTCTTCATCAGTAGAGTTGCGGCCGGCTCAGAGAAAGATAGGTACGGAAGGAGAGGTAGCGGCGGCTTCCAACTTGGGACGTCTTGGGAGCAATCAAAGAATTCCAAAAGGTGGTAGCACGGCAGGCGGAATGCTTTGACCTCGTAGCATGTAAAGTTGCCATGATCGAAAGCAGACTCGCTCCAGGCGGGAACTCTTTTGTCCCGGTGACGCCTGTTTCACTTATTCCTTATTCCCTCTGCACACCCCGGTACGCCAATGGATCAGGCCCCCCTCGATATGGGCGTGCCATTAAGTCTGCAAACCAGTAGCAGCAGCCATGGCTTCCAATGCAACTGAGTTTGTCATTTTGCAGTGGAACTGCGCGGGATTCAGGAAGCGTAAGGCCTCCCTCTAGCAGTACATTGCTTCATTGACGGTTCAGCCGCATGTGATTGCTTTACAAATAACTACTAACGGGGTGGTTGCCTTGCCCGGCTATTGATCTACATCGTTTAGTGGGGGAGGGTCAACGGGGTCTGGCTGTCTTGGTTTTGAACAAATGCGCGTTTTTAGAGCACACACTTGCGCTGGGGCAACTCTACTTTGGAGGCTCAACTGGTTGAAATTACTCTGAATAATTGGCTTAAGTGGAGCATATTCGTACTGAATGTTTATAGCAGCCCTCAAAATCACAAGTAGGCGTTCTCCTCGGTGGTCGCAAAGGCGGCTACCCTTGCAGGCAAGTCGCCGCTCATAGCTATCGGTGACTTTAACGCACCTCACCCAGCCTGGGGCTATCCAAAGGCCACTGTTCAAGGGAAAAACCTTGTTAAAGCTATGACTGACTGT